AAGATTTGGTATCAGTAAACAACACTTCTTTCACTTAACGTAAACCCAGGAATGGAAGCCACAGGTAGTGCCTAGAGATGCTCTCTGCAGAATTTCAGACGGAGTACAGAGGTTATTATCCTCTCTTTTTTTGACTAATAATTTTGCAGTACTTTTTGTTCTACACAATCATCTTGAAAGCGGTTGTTCTTGCACCTTTGATCTGGAAGGGGTAATAGAAAACGTAAATGGTTTCTAAGATTATGAAATCGTTTTTGAGTTCCTTAATGTACTTAATCATGCGTTCTCCTCACTTCTCTTCGCTTTCTGGTTTCTGTGACTTCACTCAGTCACTGAGGACTGTCTGTGTCTGGGATGTAAACGTCAGATGGTGAAGAATAGGACTCAAGCTGATGGGAACTGGTTTGGTTTCTGGAAACCTGCGTGAGAGCAAATTCCTGTGCACATTAATTGGAATTTATCTCCTCTGTTTAGAGATGAAAAGTGAATCCCTCACTACTTCTTCCAGCTTCATTTAGTTTCTCTCTTCTTTCTTTTCCTTTCCTTTCCCTTCCCTCCCTCCCTTCCTTATTCTTTCCTCTCCTTCCTTCCTTCCTCCCTCCCTTTTCTTTTTTTTTTTTTTTAGTTGCCTTCTAGTAGATTTGGCTGTCAAGGCCCCCCTCACCTCCTCCACATCATCCCTGAGTTGGTTCTGACACACAGAGACCTTGTAGTACAGAAACAGAGTAGCAATGTCCTACAGGGTCTTGAAGGTGCCTCCTTTTTCTCCTACAGAAGCACTGATTGAACCTTTTGGTTGCCAGCTGAGCTAAACCCTCAGAGAAAAGGCTACAATGATGAGAACAAGCCCTGATTTCTTAGGGTAAGATTCCACTCTGCAGTCTAGAGGCTGTGGAGAGTCGGAGCAGAGCAGATGTGGGTAGCTGAGATGAGGGAGAGAACAGGCGCTCCAGGAACAAGGGCCAGAGAGCACCTGGACACAGGAGGTCAGAGGTTGCAAGGGGAGTCTTGACACAAGCAGGAAGGTCCAGTGAAATAGGCAAGGAGGGTGCTGTACCGTCTGCTGAATCCTTCATTCCTATTAACATAGCATGGCTGGTCCAGGGCACTTACACAGGGCAGCACAATCCTGACTGACCATGTAGAGGTGGACACAGGAAAGCTGGTCTTCAGAGACAGTGCTATTTGCTGGCCTCCAGGAGGGAGAAAATTCTATACCACTCTCCCTATTCATTGCAAATAATGTACTCTATTATTACTGCTAATAGTAAAACACCACAAAGAACTTCCACATTCATCCAGTAACAGGCTCCAGGATGTCCTTAACTCTTATTTTCAGTGCTCATGGAAGTCGAAAAAGTTAGCTTTCGCTCTAATGACAAGCACAATGGGAATTTCCAGTGTTTTTTTTTCCATTACTCTCCATATGACAGGCAAGTACCTTCACTTTCTTTCTTTTCTTGGAAGGTAAATTTAGCAGAAGTTCAAAGTCAGAACTTGGGGCCCAGAGGTTGGACCCAGAATTTCTTTATCACAAAATGTATTACTAGCTCTCCGAAATCACCTATCTTGCCATCTACCTGTTCTCTACAACCTGTATGAAGCTGCTTCAAAGGGGATCGAAGCTTCCTTTTTCATATTCCATTTGCGTGCCGTCAAGAGAATATAAAATGAGAAAGAGCAGGAGAAAAGGGAGCTGAGTGAGACTCTGTGCGATGGGAATAAAGCAACAATTGCCCCACCTCCTCACGGCCTCCTTCTCCCTCAATGGGACGCAGAATTGTTTCTATTCACCAACAAAAATATTTTCAGAGTGAAAACGTGTACATATTATAAAACGGAGTAAGTCAGTTTAATCTTGCATGAAAAACTAGCACAAATACAAGGGAGTAAGTCAGTGTAGAAAATCTGAAGAACTAAATTAAGTAGCTCACAAACAGAAAGGCATTAACCATTGGCCACATACGCATAGGCGAGCCCTGGGCTGGCTGGGAACTGAATTCTAATGTTCTTCACTGAGTGGTGATAAGATCTTACTTTTAAACAAAACATGAGCTTAAGAACGCTTGCTCCTTTGGGAAAAGAGTGTTACACCCATCTATAGGTTTTCTGCACTAAGAAACAAACATACGGAACAAGGGTGATTCTTATTGCAGCACGTTTTGCCACTAGGAGCATTCACGGTGCTTTCGGGCCCTCAAAGGGGGTTGCTCCCTGGCTCAGCAGCACTCAACATCTACTGGGCACCTGTCAGAAACCTTTCGGGAATTCAAAAATCTTGGGATTTACTCGCACCTGCTGAAGCAGAAGGTCCCAGCCACTTGTGCTTTCATGCATCTTGAAGGTGATTCAAGGTGACCTTGAAGGGTCTTCCAGGACTAGCAAGGTCACTGCCATTGAGCTTCCATCTCATGGTGACCTCACTTGTGTCAGCACGGAGCTCTGCGCCCCAGGGCTTCCACTGTCCGTGATCTTCAGACGCAGGCCAAGCGGACCAGGATCACCAACCTTTCAGTTATGTTTAATTTGTTGAGCTATTCAGGGACTCAAGCTCTCCGTGCTGCTGTATTCTGGAGCCTGTGAGTTGGCCCCCAGCTCATGGTAACTCTGTGTGTGACTGACCAGGACTGCTCTACAGGGTTTATCGGCTTTAATCTTTATGGATGCAAGCCACCTGCTCTTTTCTTCCAAGCAGCTGATTGCTGGGTTTGAACCAGCAACCTTTAGTTTGTGCCTATGGCTTATCTGTCCAATAAGAACAAAGAGTCGGTGAGTGTAGGAATAACACTCAGAGTTCCCAGTTATAAGCATTGATAACTTGAACCTATAGCTTTTGCCCAGCTGCTATCTAAAGGTTGGTTGTTCAAACTGACCAGGCAGCCCAGTATTACACAATCCACCACCTGGGCTCCTTGGAGGCGGCCAGAAGGATGACCCATCAGCCTCTAAAGAAAGAGAATCAGAACATTTCTTAAAAGAGAGGACGGTGAGCTTGCTTACTGTGAACATGTCCGCAGAAAAGATCAATCAGAAAAAAAGGCCATGGTGGATGAAGGAAGGACCAGTGAGAAGGAGGCGGCCCTCCCACGGTATGGAGGAACACAGCAGCCCCGGCAAGGGCCTGGACATGGCAAAGTACCAGCTGGCATATTAGACACTGCTTCACTGCACAATGCACAGGGAGGCCCTGAGTCAAAGCACAACCCAGACAACTCCTAGGACAGAAAGTGAAAGTGATAATGTTGTAGGAAAGGCACCCTTCACCAACCAGCAGCATGTACTTTCAAAAAGCCCCATTCTTTTAAAAACACACCAACACACTTCATTCTCCCTCTGCCATTTCCTGTAACAGCAGAACCAAACACCTCCTTTTTCATTTATTTTTTTTTTAAGGAGCTAAGGTTACATTCCAGATGGGAATAGTTCAAGGGCATGGGCATGCTCTAAAGTAGCTAATTATCTGTTAACAAGCATCGTGCAGATAAGACACCATCCTCATCCACGATTCCCAGCCCCCTTTATGTTAGCTCCTCCCATGATGGTTGGTTTCGGACAGATTCAAACATCCCATCCAGGTTCTGATATCTTCAGGCTGATGTCATTCACAAAGGTCATGCTTTCGCTCTGGGCTCTGACTTGGGGTTTTCATGAGGGCCAGTGAACAGGTCTTCCATCACAGAACAGTCTCTGTCGGTTATTGAGCTCTCTGCCAAGACCAGGTGTTGCTCCAGACCGCTCCTACCTCGCAGCCCCACTAACTGTAGACTTACCTGCCTTGTTAGCTCCTCCCAGGAGCTGGACGAGAAGGCCGACTCGGGCATGAAGCCTGGAGAGTGGACCCACGGCTTAAGGAGTCCCCCTCTCCCCACTTAATTTACAGGCTGTCTGGGCCCCGGTGTATTTCTGCAATAGGATCTCTGGACAAAAGGGTGAAAGTCTAGTGAGAATCGCTGCCGGAGACCTCACTCTGAGAAAGTCACAACCCCTCTCAGCTCAGTCGCTGGTGCGGGACTCTGGGGTTTTCAGCACATAGAGAGGGGGCCGATGAGCCAGTTCTGACTCATGGTGACCCCCGCTGGGTTTCTGGGTTAGAATCTTAGAAGACTGCTCATCCCATAGAAGACTGAAAATCCCATGGAGCATCTTAAGGATTTGAACTGCTGACCATTTGGTTAGTAATCAGGCACATTACGCACCATATCACCAGGGCTTCTTACTACTACAGAAGCAAGCAGCTCCATTTCAATCACCCTTTTCATGGCCTCAAGTGCTATGTGGCTGTGTTAGAGATAACTTCCTTCCATGCGGGTCTTTTCAGGAGGCCCTTTCCAAGCCAGGGGGTCTGATCAGGGGGCCCTCTCCAAGCCAGCTCTGCCTCATCTTCCTGAGAGGAAGGGTCGGTGAGGGAAGGCAGCCCTCTGGGAAGCACAGGAGGTGGACACACCAGCACTGACATCTGCACAGTCCATCTCAATGCTATGTAACTGCACATCATAACTGTCTACTAAACCCACTGCCATGAAGTCCATTCTGACTCCCGGACACGCTGTGTGCCAGAGCAGTGCTGTCCTCACGGCATCTCCAAGGCTGGTTTACAGAAGTGCATTATCAGGCTGTTCTCCCGAGGTACCTCTGGGGGGATATGAACCATCGACCTTATGTGTATTAGAGGGCGAGTCATCTGCATGACTGAGGGATGTGCTGGATCCTGTTTGTTGGTCACAGCTGTCACTGAGTCAGTTCTGACTCATGGTGACCTGTTTGTGCTTCGTGGGGTTTTCAGAAGGACACTGGCAGGCCATTCTGCGAAGACACATACAGGAGGACTTGAACCACAAACTCTGTGGTGAGTAGCTGAGCATGTTAATCCTGTGTGCCACTCAGAGAAAAAGTAAAATACTGACTGATGGTTTTGAGGATTTTCCTTCCATGAGCATTCACAGAGTGAATGGTGTCAGAAGGGCAGTAAGGGAGTGGGATTCCTTCCACTGTGCAGTTACCTGGATAGAGGTCAGGCCTGGATCTTGGGGAGCAGCCCACGGTCCCATCAGCAGCAGCGTCGTGCGGGGAAGCCGCGGCCTGCAGGGGCTGCACCGTGAGGCAGTCAGAGAGCAGGTCCGGGTGGAGCTCGGTGCTGGATCGCAGCTAAGGGCAGGAGAAAGCCAAACAGAGGAGAAAGAGGGTTGGTCCCGGGAACATGGTCAACGCAATTCAGTCCACACATAACCTGCATGCAGCAATCAGGGGTCAGGCACCCCGTCTAATGGAGTTGACACAAGGCCCCTTCGCCAATCTTAATAGCAGCTGGCAAGGGCGTCAGAAAATAGGAGCCAGGGCAGTGTGGCTGGAGGCGGATTTCACTCCAGACCGCGATGTTTCCATCTGAGAATCCAACTTCCTCCTCTATCACCTTCTATTTGCTGGGTATCTTATCAGCAATTGTAATGATAACAAAACCAAACATAGGTATAGTTAGTCCCTATCGGAAAGTGCTTTTAAATGATGGAGATACTGCCATGGAAAGATACTGGAGATAAGGACACAATGGCCAATGAGACTGGAGTCCTGGGAGTGGTAAGAGGACACAAGGTCCACAAAAATCATGAACTACTACAAAGCATGATTTTTAAAACAATGCCACGTTGTGCAACCACTAAAATGTTTATGAAAAGGAAGTAAGAATCTCAAATCCTACTCGGGTGCTCTCCTCCACAGGACAGAACTCCATTCCCGCGCCCCCACTGTTCACCAGCACTGAAGAAATTGGCATATTTCTTTTCTGCCACTGCTGATACTATTACTGCCTTTTACTCTCAGTATCATTATACAAGTGAACTTTGACAATGAGGAAACATTTGAGAATGATGTCACCAGCAAACTACATGCTGAAACATTGTCTTTCACTCTGTAGTGTTGTTTTGAAGTACCGTCTAATTAACTTTGAGTCATGGTGACCTTTTGATGAAGAGATGGACACCTTGCTGGATCCTGTGTCATCTCCACAATCTCCCCTGAACAGAAACCCACTGTTAGTTACCATGTCCGTTCATCTCACTGGGACTTCCTCCCCTCACTGACCCTCTACTTTTCCAAGCCTGATGTCTTTTCACAAGGGCTTGTCCTCCTGACAACGTGCCCAAGTATGTGAACTGAAGTCTCCCCATCTATGCCTTGAAGAAGCACCTTAGTTGTACTTTTTCCGTGACAGATTTATTTGTTATTCTGGTAGCCCAGGCTATATTCCATGTTGTTGTTGTTATGTGCCGTCAAGTTGCCTGCGACTCATAGCGACCCTATGTACAACAGCCCTAAACTCTGCTCTGTCCTATGCCAATCGCACTGTCTCCGACACTCCCATCCCAATTATCCCAGTCACCAAATTAATCCACCTCATAGAAGGCCTTCCTCTCCTGCGCCATCCCTCCACCCTCCCAAACATGATGTCCCTCTCCAAGGACCGGTCTCTCCTCACAACATGTCCAAAGTATGTTAGACGGAGCCTCAGCATCCTTGCCTCCAAGGATGAATCTGTTTGTTTTCCTAGCAGTCCATGGTATTCTCAATACTCTTCTCCAGAACCACAGCCCAAAGGCATCAATTCTCCTTCTATCCTGTCTAGTCATTGTCCAACTCTCTGATGCATAACAAGTGATTGCAAAGACCATGGCCTGTATCAGACGCACTTTAGTTTCCAGAGAGACACCATTGCTCTTCAGTACTTTGGAGAGGTCCCTAACAGCAGACTTTCCCATGGCAATGTGTCTTTTAATTATAAATTTTAAATTTAATTTTAAAATTTTGATGGGCACAAATACAGACCTCTTCCTGTTAGTTTCCCAGGTAGCTATCTTCCAAATGTCATGACATAGAAATTTTAATTGAATTTTCATATTCAATACAATTCACTAAAACACAGATCAAAGGCATAAATTATTCTTGGTCTTCCTTATTTACTGTACATCTTTCACATCATATGAAGCAATTAAAAATACGATGGCTTGGGTCAGGCACCCCTTAAGTCTTTAAATTGACAGCCTACTTCTCTAGTACTAGACGATCTTGGCAGTTAGATATCCATTGTAACGCATCATTTAATATACTGACTGCTGCTTCCATAGGGGTAAATAAGTAAATAAAATGATACTTAGGGAAACAACAAGAAGTAGTGCAAATTACTAACAAGTAAATCTGATTTGTCATAACTTGAATGTATTTGTAGTCAGAGATTACCTATCTACAAAATTATAACATAAATAACACAATGTAGCAAAAATAGAATGTCAAAATTAATTTTCTTTTCATAAGCAATATTTGTTGCTGCTGTTATACGAGCTCAAGTCAAATGGGACTCATAGGGACTCTATGCACAATAGCTGTGAACTCTGCCTTATCCTGAGCCAATCCCACTGCCTCCAATACACCTACCCCATTGAGCCCAGTTACTGTGTCAATCTATCTTATCCAGGGTCTCCCTCTCCTGCATAATCCTTCCACCCTTCTAAGCACAATGTCCTTCTCCAAGGACTGGTCTCTCCCGGAAACATGCCCAAAGTATGTGAGACAGAGCTTCAAAATCCTTGCCTCTAAGTAGCAACTTCGTTTCACCATCTCCAGGACCAACTTGTTTTTCTCTTGGCAGTTCCTGGTGAGTTCAGTGCTCTTCTCCAACACCACAACTCAGAGTCATTGATTTTTCTTTTCCTTCTGTCACCCTCAGTCATTGTGCAGCTCTCTGATGCACAGCACATAACTGTGAAGATCACGGCCAGGATCAGGCTCACCTTACTCTCTAGACTGACATCATTGCTCTTCAGCACTCTAGAGAGGCCACTGACAGATTTTTTCCCAAAGCAATTTGTCTTTGGATTTACTGACTACTGGTCTTAAAACTATTGATTGTGGAACCAAGCAAGCTGAAACTGTTAATAATCTCAATAACTTCATCTATCATGGTCTGTCAATTGGCCCAGTGGTAAGAGTTGTTGTTTTCTTGATGTTGAGCTTCATATTATGAACTTTATCTCCTCTGCTTCTTTAAGTCACTTTTATTTCCCAAGTTCTCTACAACCTAATCATGCTCTAGTTTGGCTTTCTAGTCTTTCTGTGTTAGAATTTCTAGTCTGAAATTGGTCATGACGACAATGTTTATTCCACAGAAATTGGCAAAATTCTACAAACTGACATTTTTTTAAAAATCTAATGAGTTGGCTATTAAATATTAGCATCTTCTCAAGGATGATGGATGATGACTATAACTGTGTCAATAAGACACACACATGCACACAGAGAAAGAGAGAGACACAACCCCTCAGTAAATTAGCACTTTGCAGTATTTCTTGGATTTCAAAAGGTCTATGTCCGTACTACGATCTTTGCTACAAGGAGGAATATTTAACACATCTAGCAAATGAGACATAATTTGGCACTTCAGAATCTCTGATTTGGAATGTCTGCAGTTAATGCCTAAACCTCTTGGGACCTTTGGAAGGTATGTCTGTTATGTTGGTACTAATCTAACTCATGTTGTGGAAGAGGAAAACTGGAAAAAATCAAGACTTAGAATGAGGCCTGCTGATCACTTTTAATTTATTTCCCATCATTAAAATGCGATCTGGGCCCCACATGTTCCCCTCAGTGCAGACATGAGGCTATCTCTGCTTTCTATTACAGGGCACGCTAGTATTTCACAGTTATCAGAACCAGTGAGAACTTTCTGAGGAATTTCACAGTCCTGGTTCCTCTGGAGTCAAGGCAGGCAACTCCTTCTTTGCTTCAGCAAGGATTCATGTTTTCCAGGAGTGTGTGATTCCCTCTGATTTTGTGGTGGGACTTAATTTGGTTTTCTCTGGGATTCAGCATGGGCCTACAAAGTGCTTCTTAAACGGAATTAGTCTTGAGGACCTTATGCAAAATTTCCAAAGGATAGATGTGGGCGAAAAAAATGCAGCATAGCTTTGTTAACTATACTATCTGCTCTCTCTCACAGACCATTAGACCACAAAAGGGCCTTCTGAATCCTTTTAAGACTTGTTAATTGCCACTGAGCTGCTCCGACTCAGGACAGCCATACGCAGAAGAGAAGGGAACGCCGGCCAGTCCTGCACCACCTCTGTCACCACTGGCACGCTGAGCCCGCTGTGGTGACTTTCATGTCTGTCCGTCACACTGAGGTTTTCTCTTGTCTGGCTGATCCTCGGCTTCACCCAGCAGCATGGTCTTTTCTGTCAGCTGGTCTTTCTGATGACGTGTCCAAACAAGTGACTTGAGATCTGGCCGTCTTCACTTCTAAAGACGACAGATGCACCTGCTCTTCTAGTTGTTTCAGGTGCCCTGAGTTGAGAGCACTCACAGTGACTCTACGAACAACACATGTGAACGCTGTTCTATCCCGTGCCATGCTCATCATCTCCGCCATGTGGGAGTCATTGCTGCAGCCCCCATGCCAATCCATCTAGATGAGGGTCTTCTCTTTGCTGACCCCCTGTCTTTCCAACCAGGACCTCCCTTTTCAAGGAAGGTCCCCTCCTAACAAAAGGCCCAAAGTACTTGAGACGTAGCTTCACCATCTATACCTGTAAGGAAACACTCTGGTTGTACTTTCTCTAAGACATGCTTGTTTGTTCTTCTGGCAGTCCATGGGATACGCGGTGTTCTTCTCCAACAACGCACCTTAAAGGCATCATCTTTTCTTCATTCTTATTCATTGTTCAACTCTCTGATGCACAACAAACGAATGAAAAGACCATAGCTTGAATTAGGGGCACCTTAGTCTTCAAACTGACATCACTGCTCTTCAGTACTTTGGAGAGGTCCCATGACAGCTCACTTTCCCAATGCAATACATCTTTTGATTTCTTAACCATTGGTACCAAATGTGTAGACTGCAGATCCTAGGAAGATGCATCAGTTAACAATTTTCATCTTTTCTCCATTTATTATGATGATACAAGCTGGGAAGCAGGAGTGGCATCCACTTCCAAAATGGCTTGCCTCCAGAAACTCTATGAACTTGGAGGAACGATGAAAGTTATACAAGTGTTCAGGTCTTTTGTTCATAGGGTCGCTATGAGTCATCTACAACTTGAAGGCACTTAACAACAACAATGAGAGAACTCTGTTGGCCTAGTGGATGAAAATGATGCTAC